GGGGTGGGGCTGGGGTGGAGTGGCATCGGGATGGGAGGTGCCAAGGCGGGGCTGCCAGGAGCTGCGTCCCAGGCACAGAGCCGAGCTAGTCCCTGCAGGTGCTGTGCGGATAAAGGTCCCCGGCTCCCTTTTACCCCTTCCTGGAAGTCTGAGCATCACCCACGGGAGCGGCTCCCTCCTCCCTCTGCCTGCATGGTGCAGTGGGCAGAGAACCATTCTGGGAGAAGAAAATGCATAGCCTGACTGTTTGAGGCCAGCTTGGTCAGCGTGAGCCCAGTCGCTTGGTGGGTCTTGCTAGCACGCAGGACGTCGTGGTGCTGGAGGAAGGGATCCCCGGTGCCGATGGCTCTGCTGAGCTGGGAGTTGAGCTCATCCCGCTCCTGGCCACAAATCCCTTCATTCTAACCTGCCAGTGTCACAGTGCCTCAGGCAAGTCCCTTCCCCTCCTCTTGACTCAGTTTCCACATCTGCAAAGGCCGAGCAGCAGCACCTCCGGGAGCTGCCTCCAGCGTGTCCTGAGGCTCTGGTATGGGCTCTGTCTTTTAAAATGCAGGGTTGGGTCCCCAGGACTGCAAGCAAAACAGCAAAAGGGAACAGTATGCATGTTTATTTTCATTTCTCTTCCTCACCGGGCTCACTGTGGAGAATCTGGGAAATTCAGAAAGCAAAAAGAAAAGGAAGCCGGGCGTGGTGGCGCACGCCTGTAATCCCAGCACTCGGGAGGCTGAGGCAGGAGGACTGTTGCGAGTTCGAGGCCAGCCTGGGCTACAAAGTGAGCTCAAGCCCAGCCTGAACTGCATAGCGAGACCCTGTCTCAAAAAGACAAACAAACAAACAACAAAAAAGGAAAAGGAAAATCTCCTGCAACCTGCTGCCTACATGAATGTTAATATCTTACTTAGTGTGTTCCTTCCAGCTCTTTTCTTCAACACAGCTGGGACACAGGAGTGGCTGGATTTCTGTGCCTGCTGGACCATCTTTATTTATTTATTTTTTTGAGACAGGGTCTCACTGCTTACTTGGGGCTGGCCTTGAACTTGCAATCCTCCTGCCTCAGCCTCCTCAGTGCTGGGATTCTAAGTGTGCATCACCTCACCCCACTTGCCTTTGGTTTTGTGGGCTCTTCTCCAGTGCCTCTTATGCTGGACACTGTGGTGGGGAAGGTTTGGGCCACTCTTCCGGGAGAGACCCCGTTCCAGGGTATCGCTACCCCATTCTCCGGGTGCCAGCTCCCAGCTCCAAAGCTTCCAGACTGGGTCCAGCTCCGGGAGGCCTCAAAAACAGCAGCAAACAGCTGAGCAGCCTCCTTGCGTATGGTGTCTCCACACTCATTACCCCAGGGTTGTGTGGGCAGATGTGGGCACGGTGCCCGTTTTACAGAGGTGAAGCCCGAGGCTGTGGGAGGTGTGGCCCTGTCCACCTTGCAGATGGATCCTACATTCCAGGTCACTGCCACCAGATCTGATGGCTCAAGGTCCTAGGCTCCCAGAGTCCCTTAAACTCCTGGAGTGTAGAATCTCGATATGGGATCCTGTTTGCTGTCTGTCTCTCATTTTGGTGGTGACGGTGCCAGAAGGTACCCTTGTGGCGCTGGCCTTGCCTGCCCAAGGCTTTGTGGCAGAGCTCAGGCATCCTGTAGAGACCTCTGGGAGGCAAGTGACAGGATCCCCACTTTCCAAGTCCTAACCCTCTTTTTTATTTCTTCCAGCAATGCTGGAGATTGAACCCATAGCCTTCCCACAGAGCTACATCCCCAGCCCACTTTTTCTTTTCAAACAGGGTCTTGCTAATCTGCTAAATTGCCTAGACTGAGCTTGAATGTGTGATCTTCTTGCCTCAGCCTCCCAAACTGTTGGGAGTACAGGCATGCACCACAAGGCCCTGCAGGATCCCCACTTTACAGATGGGGACATGGAGCCTCAGCTAGGTGCGGAGAGGGGACTGCAGCCTGGGACCCTAACTGCCGTGGGCGCGCTGTGGCTGTCACAGCCACGTCCTGTGTGCGGGATGGGATGACGAATGTTAATGGCAGTCACAGGCCAGCATGTCCAGGGATCCTTCTGAGAGCTTTTCGCGTTTGTCCTCTGAATTTCAAGGTTCTGTGGCGGGGGCAATGGCTGCTCCCTCACCTACGCCTTTCTGAGGCGCGTGGCGTGTATGCGAAGTGGCAGCCACAGGCCCGCATGTGATGGGCCTCACTGACGGGTGTCCTTGTCCCGGGGACTTGAGGGTGAACCTGTAGCAGGCACCTCTGGGATCCCAGCCCCAAGGTCCAGGAGGCACTGTGATCCCGATGTTGAATTCCTGTGCTAAAAAGTTCCGAGGCCAGTTCTTGCGCTGTCATGTGGTCCCATTGCCTCTGTGACCTGGGAGCATCCTTATCTCTCAGAGCCTCTATTTCTCCGTCTGTAAAGTGGGGGTGTTGTAGAAATGAGCTTCAGACTCTCTGAGTGTTGGTGTACTCTCGCCTCTGGCAACAGCCTTGGGCCTTGGGGCAGAAGGACTGGGAGGGACATTGGGCTTCTTGACCCAGAACGGGGGAATCCCAGGTTTGGCTGCAGGACGGGTAGCAGCCTCTTTGAGTAGCAGCCTCTTTGGACGTCATCATCATCTGTATTTAAGCAGCAGGCTGCCCGAGAGGCTGGGCTAGGTGCCTCCCCTTCTGTGGATGGGTGCAAGTCTCCCCGGAACCTGTGGCCCAGTGCCTGCAGAGGAAGGCTGAGTGGGCCCCGGGGCTCACGCGCACCATGGGGGCTCCTCGCAGGAGGACCACTGTGGGGCTGTGGCCTCGTCTTCACCAATGCTTCTGGTTGCTCCCAGACCTCTGTGGAAGGTAAGGTTAGAGTCCCGGGAGTTTTCCCTGCGGGTCCGGAAGGCACAGCCGCACACGGGGGAGCACCTGGCCTCATGGGAGCAGGCCCTTGTCTCCCTGGATCCTGTGTCCAGGAGCGAGCCCTTTAGGCCTCCGGTTCATCCGCTCCAGGCCCCAGCGTGGACGGTGTCCGGGCTCACTGTACATGGTGCTCAGCAGCTAAATAGCCTTGTGCAGCGGGCAGAGGTGCCATAAACTGTGGTCCATCCCACCCCATACGGTGCCGCCACTGAAAATGGTGAGGCTGATGTCCACGCAGTGTTCTGAAATCATCACTGGGACTTAAGTAAAAAAAAAAAAAAAGCTGTTACAAAATCAGGCAACATGGTGCACACCTGTAATCCCAGCACTTAGAAGGCTGAAGCAGGAGGATCAGCTATGAGTTCGAGGCCAGCCTGGGCTATATAGTGAGTGAGACCTTGTCTCAAAAAAAAAACCCCAAACAAAACTATTACAGGGCGGGGGTCCACCTGCCTCCTTCTAAACACACAAGGCTGACCCATTAGCAGTCCTGTATCTGCAGGGACTGTGTTCTGAGATCCCCAGAGGGAGCCTGAAGCCATGGATAGTACCGGCCTCTAAATGTGCTGTATGTGCACACCTCGCTAAAGACTAATTTTTTTTCTTTTTTTTCCCCGTACCGGGGATCGAACTCATGACCTTGTGCTTGCCAGGCAGGCGCTGTGCCGCGGCTAAACCTCCAGCCCCTAAAGATTAATTTGTAAATTAGGCACAGTAAGAGTTGAACAGCAGTAACTCAAAATAAAATAGAGCAGTTTGAACAATATGCTGTAACAGGAGTTGCGCGAATTGGCCTCTCCCTGTCTCCCAAAACCTCTTACCGCGCTATGCTTGCCTTTCTTATGAAGATGCGAGGTTGATAGGATGGATGTCGGGGTGATGAGGTGAAGCGAGGGGGGAGCAGGGTGCATAGCATCAGGCTTCTGTGGATGGGAGGTTTGTGGGTCCTGGTGGCACCGGCTCACCAGGGTGACAGGCAAGCTGGCAAATAACACGGGTGGTCCTGGAAGGCATCTTTTTTCTTATTGTGTGAATTTTAGAAGGTACTGGGACATATCCTTAATGAGTACAGATTCTGGAGCCTGGGGGCCCAAGTTTGAACTCGTCCTGTGTGATCCTGGGCAAGTTGCTTACCCTCTCGGGGCCTCATTTTCTGATTTATAGTTTGGATTAATATATGTCAATGATAGGGTGATGGCTGAGACATGGGGCGCTATGTGAAACATTGGCTGCTGCTAATATTCCCGTTTGCGCGTGTTCCATTTTCACTTGGTAAGCTGGGATAAAGGCTGTAGACAGGGAAGGGAAACGGGACCCGGATGTTGGTGGCCGAGCAGACTGGACTGGAGCGCTTGCTGCCCTCCTCCGCAGGACCTGGGGCGCTAGCCCTTAGCTCTGCTGGGGAGAACTTTCCTCACTGCTTGCCGGGAGACGCCTGGCAAGGTTGCCCCAGCCCTGGAAGCCCACCGAGGCACAGGCCTTCTGACGTGTGAGCTCCCACGAGGAGCCGCGGTGGGCAGGAGGAGCTGAGGGAGCCGGAGCCTTTCGGATTCTGCCCTGTCTCATGCCGCCCGAGCCTCTGCGGCCCTTTCCTTCCTACACCCGTGGGCCAAGGCCTGTGGCCCCTTGGCAGCTGGCCAGCCCCATGGGGCAGGACAGTGAGACAGAGAAGGTGGCCTTCAGCGGGGTCACAGGCAGGGCCTGGTGAGAGCTTCCAGCCCGGAGGAGCCTGTGGTGCCCAGGGAGCCAGGAGGAGGAAGTACCCGCCACCCCTGCCATGGTACAGGGGACCCAGCTTCTGTCACACGGGCACCTGGGGGCCCATGCATCCCCTAAGCCAGAGGGCACAGGCAGGGACCCTCCTCGCTGGACTGCACACTCCTGCATGCCCCTTGGCATTGGGCAAAGGCAGGTCTGTGGCAGCAGCGGCTTCCGGGTTAATGATTTATGCTGGGTGGAGGCTGGGTCCTTGCTGGGGCTGCCCCGCGCCCCGGGAGCTGCTGGGAAGTTTCCCTGTGGAGCACACATGTTGTGAGCCAGGCACCCTCTCTGCTGCCGAAACTTGGCCTCGACCTCCATCTGACTGCTTCCTGGCCTTTTTCTACAGGCGAGCGGTGGACACGGCGCTGGCCTGAGCTGGACCGTGTCTGATGGCTTCCTCCAACCCGCCTGCACAGCCTGCCGTAGGTAGGTACCGCGGCCCCTCCTGCTGTCCCTCCCCACCACGGCCCCAAGGAGCTGGGCTGCAGGCGGACCCTGTGTCTGTCCACCCCCTCTGCCTCAGTCTCCTCGCCACAAAGTGGAAATCACGTCTTCCTTCAGAGCAGGCGCCGGCCAAGGACTAACGTATCACCTGTGCCTCTCTGATGGCCCGGACAGATGGACAGTTTGGGGCCTGTGATTGAGGTGCACCTGGGGCAGAGTTGTCAGTCAAGGGCGGGGTGCTAGGTTGGGCAGAGAGCCAGGCTGTCAGATCAGCCTAAGGGGTGCCAGATTTAGGGAGAAAAATGAGGCAGAAAAAGCCCCTGCTTATACTAACAAAGTTATTCATTGTTGATCTGAAATTCAATCCAGTGTCCTGTATTTTATTTGGCAGCCCCAGCAGTGGCCTCAGTCCTTGCCGGTGGCATCTGGGCCCTGCCTGGAGGAACTGGACCCAAGGCTGTTTCACCCACCAGCCCGGGGCCCCCTGCCCCAGGGAGGCAGGGTAGCAGAGTGGTCACAAACAGGAATTGTCGCCTGCCTCATCTGGGTGTGGATGCTGACCCTCCCACTTACGCTGTGCACTTAACTGAGTGACCTGGGTCCCATGCAGTAATAATGACTCCCTCGCCTTGTTGTTGTGAGGTTTAAATACAGGTCGGGCTCTGATATGGGGTAATCAATGGCTCCATGGATGGAAGCCGGGGTGTCACCGCAGGGTGTCAGCGGGACAAACCGTGGGTGCCGTTCCCTGACCTGGGTAGGGCCAGATGACAGTCTCGTCCTCCCTCAGCATCCTCCGAGTGCAGAGTCAGCTCTGGGGATGCCCAAGCCAGGACCACGGTGGCCTCCTGGGGTCCCTGCCTCCGGGGCTCGCTGGGTTAGCTGTCGCAAGGCCTGGGCGAGCTCAGGAGCGTCGAAGGCATGGGTGCCCTGCTCCTGCTGTGCCACCTGCTCAGATGACAGGGAAGGGCTCAGCTTGGCTCCCTGTTACCCTGGGCTGGGTCCCTGATGTTCCTTCTGATAAGATGCAGCATGTGACTGCCTGGAGGAGGACAAGGATGGCCAGCTGGGAGAGGATCCTGGGGACAGGCACATCTCCTGCCGTGGCCCGGACGTGGGGTCCCAGGATGGCAGACTCTGGCCTGGCTGTCAGAGGCACCCCGTTCCCTCTCTCCTTCCCTCCCAGAGGACCCAGACGCAAGCCTGTGCACGTGGGAAACTTTTGCAGTGGAGCCAGTTCGTGTGCTCAGCAAACGGTTGCAAATCTTTGCCCCAGCTCTGCCTAACACTGCTGGCTCATGCAGCGGGGGAAGTGCCCTGTCCTAGGCTCCGATTCTGGTAGAGCTTCCTTTGTCTCACCAAGCTAATCTGGTTCCTGAGGAGAGGGTCCCCCAGACACCAGCTCAATGGTGACCTCTGCCCCTGGTGTGTGTCTGCAGCCCCCTGGGTGCTTGTTCCTGCTGCCACCTCAGCCTGGGCACCTGGTCCTCACCCGATCAAGGCAGACTTTTCCCCAGTACGTGCTGGCCATCCCCTCTCAGCACGGTTTCTGTTGCTTGTTCGCAGTTTGCCCCTGCTGTGTCAGCCTCCCTGGCCTGCGGTGGGCTTGGGACACCCAGACCTTGGTCCTGGAGCTGCCAGCAGCCGATTCATAGATGCAAGGGTGATATTGATGGGTGAGCTGCGGCTCTTTGCTCTTAAAGGGAGGTGTCCGAGAGTCCCTGATTTCTCCTGGGAGTCCAGGTGGCCCGTGACGTCCATCCCACCCGGGGACAGGACAGGCGCTGACAACAGTGACAGGAGTCATGAGGACGATGACAGAATGACAGTAATAATCAGTGGCATCATCACCCTAGGAGTAGCTCACAGCTGGGTGTGGTGGCACATGATTGTCATCCCTGCAAGGGGAAAACAAGACCTTACACCACACACGCACTCTATAATCGACACAGACGTACCCAAAGCAGTGTCAAAATTGTACCAAAGGAAGCTGGGTGTTATAGTGCATAGTTTAATCCCAGCTCTCTCAGAAGCCGAGGCAGGAGGATCTCAGATTTGAGCCCAGGCTGGGCAAATTAATGACTTAATGAGACCCTGTCTCAAAGCAAAAAAGATTTAAGGACCTAATTCAGCATGAAAGCCCTGGGTTCTAGCCCCAGTACTGAAAACAGTCATACCAAATGTGGCCAGACGTGATGGCGCATGCCTGTAATACCAGCACTCGGGAGGCTGAGGCAGGAAGATGGTTGTGAGTTTAGGACCAGCCTGGGCTACAAAGTGAGCTCAGCCTGAATTTCACAGTGAGACCCTGTCTCAAAAAAAACAAAACAAAACAAAACAAACAAACCCACAAAAAACAAAAAAACCCCAAATGTGACTTTATTAATATTATAAGGTTTAAAAATATCTAAAATAATTCAATCCCAAATATATTTTATTTGGGGTTGTAATACCAAATGAACACTGTTACACAAGAGTGAAAAATGCCTGAAATAAGCAATCCGCACACAAATAGCTAGGCTGACTGCCTGATTGATCTCATGAGCTGCCGCTGGGCTTGTGATTATAAAACCATGACCCCAGCTTCCCCTCCAACCCATGTATTTCCTTTGCTACGTCACTATGGGGCAGAGCCAAAGGTTCAAGCTACTTCCGGGAGGCCGCAGGGCTTTGTGGGAAGAGTCCAGTGTTTCTGGCTGGAGAGCTGGTGGGCACTCACGGGGCCATCTGCGTCAGATGCTGGGAGAGAAGGCTGGGCAGAGGGCAGGGACGTCACTGCTCCGAGGGATGGCCTGAGAGGCGGGGGCTGCTGTGTTCTTTCACAGGGAATTCATTCATTCATTCCGTTCACAGAAACTGCTGAGTCCCTGCCTTGGGCCAGGCCAGCATGGGACAGTAAAGGGGGGTGGGTAGGGGGACGTCTCTGCTCTGGGAGATCTGAGGTCAAGAGGAGAGTACTCACAGGACAGACGGAGAAAGCAGAGAAGGCAAGGACAGCAGCAAGCCGGGCCTGCTCTGTTAGTTGCTTGAGTTGAGCTTTGGAGGAGGAGGAAGACAGGATCTCAGAGGGGTCTCCCAGGAGGAGCACAGGGAGTGAGCAAGGCATCCCGGGCAGCTGACTTCCTGCCGCCTCATGCGAGACGTGCCTGCCTGTGCTCATTTGCACCAACGCATAAGTGTGCAGACACCCACGGGAAGGAGTGTGCCCGCATGCGCACTTGCATTTAAAGTCTTCTTGCTCACAGAACAGGGAGACAGAAAACAGGAGGAAATATGTACCTGTGTTCAGGTGCAGAGAGCCACCTGCTTAGCCCGGGAGCTTCCTTCCTCCCCTCCATCCACTGCCACCTGCTGAGACACCTAACCCAGCCCCCTGTACACCTTAGGAGCATGGCAGGGCCATTGGGCCCGCGTGTGACTTTGGCCTTGTCCCTAAGAACCGCTCCCGTCCCTGCTCAGACGCAGTGCCCACCTCCCTGACCACTAAGCAATCCCTGTAGCCCGCTGAGCTCTCCTTTCCTGCAGGAGATCCGCTGGTTCCTGCAGCCCCAGGCCCCTGCCCCGAGGCGGAGGAGGACCCGGGAGAGGCCTTTGAGTTCGAGGACAGTGATGATGAAGAGGACACCAGCACAGGCCTGGGTGTCTCCCGCCTTGCCCCTGAGAAGGCCGAGGACGACCCCCCTCTGATCCACTTTGACTCCGCCCCCCGCTCGGGTAAGCTCTTGTTTGGTCCGAGTTCCAGGCGTCTGGGGCTACAGAGTGCAGAGAGCTGCCTGCGGTGTGGACTCCTGGGGGTGCCTGGTGGCCGCTCTGCTGTCCCTAGAAGGCCGGAAGGGGGACACAGGGAGCAAGCTGAAATCCGCGCTTCCCAGTCCGCGCTTCCCAGTCCACGCTTCCCTCGGGAATGGAGATTCCTAGCATTCCTGCAACATCTGGCGCACTCTGGCGAGTTGTACATGAGAGCTTGGCCGGGTTTTGCTGTGGAGACAGTTGCTGCCCAGAACTCGTGTCCCTGAGTCCCTCTCGGCTTCTCCCCCAGAGCATCCACCCTAGCCTGAGGAGCAGCCTCTCGAGGTCCCCTCTCCCCTTCCCCGTCTGCTTGGGGAGCCGGGAGTGGGAGGTCCCCATATAAGGCTGGCCTCGATGGTGACTGCTGGGCTCCGAGGTTCTGTCATATGGGAGAGGCTCTGGGGACCGGACCAGCCGGAACTTCCTGCAGCCTCCAGACAGCGCTCCAGGAGGAGCTGGGGGCGGGAGAGGCCAGGGCTGCAGGGCTGGGTCCTGGCTGGGGCTGGGAAGTGGGCTTCGGGGTTGGGGAGTTGGGGCGGGGCGGCGCAGGTAGGACAGGTAAGGAGTTTAATCACCAGAAGGGAGGCGGAGACCCAGCAGGCAGGCACCCCAGCTGCTAGGTCCTGTCCCTGGCTCCCCGAAAGGCGGGAGGGGGCGGGAATAGGCTGGATCCTTGGGCCCAGCCTCCTGCCTTACAGGCTTTCCCTCCCCTCTTCTCCGCAGACCCGGATCGAGCGACTGCACCGCCCCAGACAGAGTAAGTGCGCTGAGCCTTTGCTTTGTAGATGGGAGAGATGAGTGGAGCAAGCGTGTGGGGCGGGTGGAGCCCTGGAAGAGGCCCCAGGAGCCTCTGGAAGGAGGCTGGTGGTTCCTTTCTTTTTGGTCTTTTTGAGACAGGGTCTCGCTGTGCAGTTCAGGCTGGCCTTGAACTCACTTTGTAGCCCAGGCTGGTCTCAAACGCTCAACGATCCACCTGCCTCAGCCTCCTGAGTGCTGGGATTACAGGCATGCGCCACCATGCCTGGCACAGCTGGTGGTTCCTTAAGACCCTTCTGGGGACAGGACAGGACAAGGCCAGTCCCTGACATTTTAATGTGGCCCCTTCCTGAGCAGGCCTGGCCCCAGCCCTGCCCTTGTTCCTGGCCATGCATGGCCTTGGTGGAGTCACAGAACTCACTGCAAGTGTCCTCCTGCCTCTTTGTGACGTGGAAGCAATGAGAGGCCACCCCTGGGGCTGTCATTGAGAGCCAGGTGGGTGCCTGGTGTGGCTTTGCCAACTACCCCATTCCCATGCTGCTTCTTATTTTTTTAAATTTTATTTCTGTTTTTTGAGACAGAGTTTCACTCTATAGTTTAGGCTGTCCTTGAATTCCACTCTGTAACCCAGGCTGACCTGGAACTTGTGGGGATCTTCCTGCCTCAGCCTCCCAAGTGCTGGGATGACAGGTGTGCGCCACCACTCCTGGCTCCCCATTCCCATTCTCATGACTGTTGTTGGGGACTCTGTCCTTCTGTCCCTGTGCAGCCTCATGGAGGCTGGGTGCCTGCGTCCTAACCCTGGCTCAGTGAGCACCAAGCTCAGGACTCTGCATATACGTCAAAGTCCCGCTGGACTCTGGTATTCTTATCTGTAAAATGGGCCAGTGGTGGTCCCCTAAGCATGTGCAGTGTCACAGCAGGCATTTAATTAGAACAGTCACTTTTTTCTTTCTTCCTAGTATGGGGAACTAAACCCAGGCCCTTTTTAATTTTTCCTTTTTTGGAGGCAGGACCTCGCTAGGTAGTCTATGCTGGACTTGAACTCTTGGTGATCCTCCTGCTTCAGCCTCCTGAGTGCTGAGATTATAGGCATGCGTCATTATCCCTGGCTCTATTTTTCACTTTGAGACAAGGTCTTGCTCAGTCACTATGTTGCCCAGGCTGGAGTTCTGCTTCTTATGATCCTCCTGCCTCAGCCTCCCAGAGTGCTGGGATTATAGCCACCAGCATACCTGGCTAGGACAAGTTGCTTTGAATCCCAGCTCCTCTGTGTTCTTTGTGCTCCGGGTTGGAAGCTGAGCCTCTCTGGGTGCTGGTGTCCAGAGACTGTCCTGCGCCCAAGTTAACAGCCAGGGGCATTAGGGGCGAGTTGAAAGCCTGACTGGCCCGGTAGGAGGCAGGGGTCTGGGCGCCTGCCTGTCTCCTTGGGAGGAGCTGGGCCCGGGGCTGATTCTCAGGCCAGCCCTGGGCCCTGCAGGGGCGGAAGTCCTGTCTGCTCATTTGGTGCCCTGAGTGGGTGGACCCTGGGAGGGTTTCTGCCGGGCTGCTACCCTATAATTAGGTCGAACATTGGGGCCACCTCTCCCGCGATGACGGAGCTGGGGTGACTGCAGCTGATCCCCTGCACCAGCCAGGGAGCTGCCCATGACTGGGGTCTCTTTGCAGTGGGGTGGGGCCGGGACAGCGAAGTCCCTGAACCCCTGAGCCCCTGGTCCTCCCCGGGGCTGGCTCTCGGTCTGTGTTCTCCTGGAGACCCAGGTTCCCCTCCCTGCCCGGCTTCTCTGTGCCTGTGGTCCTGCTGTGTCCTGGGGGCCCTGGCTCCGGAGCTTGGCCTCAGTGACTGCAGCCAGATCAAGTGTCAGGCTGGCGCCAGACGCCACGCTGGGGCCGAGTGACCCAGTGGTCCCCTGAGCTGGTGCGTACTATGCTGTTTTTCTGTCATCCCGTTGCTTAGCACGGGTAGCATGGGTCAGAGAGGGCCGGGTCCAGGCAAGGAGGGGACGGGGCTCTGTCTTTAACCCTCTGCCTGCCTCCCTGTGCACTCCCTCCCATCACAAACTGTCTCTGGAGTTGCTGGCACCCTGGACCCCTTCTCCCAGGTGACTGTCACTGGCTGTGTGGCTTTGGGCTGCCTGACAACCTCTCTGTGCTCCAGTTTCCCTGAATGTTAGGTGGAAGCATTTGTGAGGGGTCAAAGTAGACCGACCCTCTCCCCTCAGTACTTGGGGCTGGCACCTCTCCGCAAACAGAAGCAAATCAGTGTCACTTCTGAGTGCACTACCTGGGCAACAGGGCTTTTACTGTCACTGACTGGACCCTGTCCATGGGACATGACCCTGTGTAGAATTTGGGTTAGGACAGGAGCCGTAAGAGGCCTGTGAACTTGCCCACGGGTGTGACTTCACACGGAGAGGTGCGGGTGCCTCCTGATGCCCTGCCCAGCGCCCCAGCCCCTTCCCTCCTTCTGGACTCTGTGGACGGAGGTTGTGCTGCTCCTATGGTCGGTTGGTGATTTTCCACTCTGGGATCTTCCGGGAGTGGGATCCGTCCAGGTCACTTTCCTCCTCTCGTCATCCAAGAAAAAAGGAAACAAAATCTTGATTTTTTTTTTTTTAAAACTTACCCAAAGGTGGTCCCTAAACAAGCACTGCTTTGAAAGCAGCGATGTCAGGGTGGGGACTTTCCAGCCTCTCTGGGCTGTGTTTCCTCCTCAGGCCTGCTGGGAGGTGTGGGGAGCCTGGCTCCTACCTGCCTCCAGCTGCTGAGGCCCCTGATGAAGTAGTGAGAACCCTGCTGAGATCTGAGAGCTTTAGTGTCAGAGTGACCTCACCCCCTGCAGGACACTTGGTGCCCAGCTGGGGAGGTGGGAGGCAGGACCGGCCTTGCCGCCTTCACAGCGGGTGAGCGGAGCCACGGGGCCCTGAGCTGCCAGGCGGGAGCGCAGCTGGCCGCCAGAGGGCTGGCAGTGATCCTCTGTGCCCCAAGGAGCTGGCTTCAGCTTTGGCAAGTTGCTTACTGTCCCCAGCTTCTGTTTCTCTGCTCTCTCTCTCTTAACGGTTTTTTCAGATGGTCTCACTGTGTAGCCCAGGCTGACCTCAAACATACAAGCAATTCTCCTGCCTCAGCCTCCCAAGGGCTGGGACTACAGGCGTGTGCTACATACCCAGCATCTAGCCTCTGTTTCTAAGCAGGGAACTAGGGACAGTTTGCCTCCTCTCTTGCACGGCTCTGTGGGGAGAATCCAGACCTGGGGCTACATAGGGCTGGCCCAAGCCACCTGCTCCAGCAACATTCTCTGCCACTATTGGGCTCTGTGCCCCTGGGAGTTCGACCTGGGCTCTAGTGGGCATTTACCCCCTCGCGTGCCCACAGGCAGCCTCCCTGCCTCTCCGTCCTGCATCTCCTATGCTCATGGCAAGGTCACACGTGCCTGGGGAGTGGCGCTAAGGACAGCTGGGGCTGATGGGCGGCTGCATGGACGAGGGTATGGGTGGCAGGTGGCGTGTGGCTCGGAGGTCTGGGACGCCCGTGTCTCTCTGTGTGCTTGCCTGGGCACCTGCAGAAGGCATCCAGGCTGCCCACGGGGTAAACAGCGCTGCTGGTGCGGCCGGGTGCGTGTTGGCCTATGGGTGATGTTGGGATAGAGCACCCTGCTCAGCCTGCCTTAGGGGGCAAGGTGGCTGGGAGCGCCTCCGCCCTGCTGCCGGGAAAAGCAGCCTTCCCGCTCCACTAACTGGCAGTGCGCTGTCTTCCCTGTGTGGGACACACATACCCGCTGGCAGATAACCTGAGCACAGCATCAGACAGGGCTGGTAGTACTGACTGGCCGTGCTGACTGCGTACTGTGCACGGAGCTAGCTGCCCGGGTCCCTGTGCATCTCTAGGTTGGAGCCGCTGTCGCTCCCCAGGGAAGCCAGGTGGTGCGTTCCAGGCACCTGAGCATCAGAAACAGAGACCAGGACCATGGCTCCCCTCACCCTGAGTCCCCCACCGCCACCTGCTTTGTGGTGGGAGGGTGTGGCTGGCTGCGCGCGAGCCACCCGCTGTGTGTTTGCTGAGGTGAGGATTTTGCCCATGGAGAGAGCTCTCCAAGCCCCTGGAGTGTTCCGTACCACCTGGGAGCCTGGGCAGTGCCTGGTATGTGGCGCTGGGTGAGTGGAGGCATCTTTCTACACGTAGGTCAGCTCTGAGGGGACAGGGACTATATTTTTTGGGCAAAGGGGATGTTTTGTTTGCTGCTGTGTCCTCATGGTTTAGCACAACGTCAGGCTCAGGACAAGTGCTGAGGATATGGTTATTGAATGACTGATAGATGGAGGGACCCTGAGGGTCTGAAAAGCGACTCTCAGTGTCTCCGTGACAATCAGCAGAAAACAAACTGTTCAGCAATGAGGTGTCCAAGGCTGAATTCTGACCCTGGCAGTGGGCGGGGACCAGGCCAGAGGCCTGGGGGAGGGGGAGGGCGCATAGGAGTGGCTGAGTGGCCTGAGACCAATCTGGATTGCAGGTGGTGTGGGCTGCCACTTCCTGAGTCCCTCCTGAACCAAGTGCCACAAGGCTCAGAGCCCTCATACCCATTGTGCAGATGAGCAGCCGAGGCGTAGAGCATTGAAGCAAACGACCCAGGATCTTGTGAGCTGGTAAATGGCAGGGCTGGCATTAGGCCCCTCTGCCCTTGAAGCCACCCACCGAGTCCTGCAGCGTTTGCCTCTCTGCTGGGCTTTGAAGCGGGAAGATCAGCACCACCCTCCCCTGAGCTCTCCCTGCCACTGCTGCTGAGGGAATCGGGCTTGAAGGGGGCGCCACTGAGCACAGATCACTGGCTTGCTGAGTTTCTCCTGGACCTGGGCCCGCACCTCTGGCCTCTGAGGGCAGCAGCCCCGTGGACTCCGGCCCCCTCTGGAGCTGTGTGCTTTTCCTGCCTAGTTGTGCCTCTGCCCCAGAGGCCCCCTGCGGCCTCAGCGTTTCCCACTTGGTCAGGATTTGGCTGGCTCTGGG